GATGACCAGTTTTTTCGACGCGAGATTCGTACGCTACCCGAAAGATGGGAGAAAGTAGTGGCCAGCGATGGACAATACTTTGAATCATAAATGTATAACCAGTTTTTTACAATAAAGCCTCGAATTTCGGAAAAAAAACGGCGGAAGCAAAATTGTACACCTAATATAATTACAATAATAATAATAATAATAATAATAATAATAATAATAATAATAATAATAACAACAACATTGCCACGATAATTGCAATAATCATAATAGATGTACATTATATACAACTATAAGAGAAATAATTGTTTATCCTCATATCCAATTAGAATATGCAATAATGGATACAAAATTACTGGATGTCATAGGTATTTGACAATTATACATGAAAATTTTGATTCGACATTCAAAACGCACATGTGATGTGAATGATGAATCATTTAGAATTCTCTCTATGTCAATTTAACAAGAATAAAATATTGATGTAGAGAAATTACTAATGGGAATGGCTGTTTAATTGCGAAGAGGAAGATAAAATCGTTGAAACTCTACGGGATAGTTTATTCGGTCCATTAAAATTTTCTAGAAAGGATTTGATATGGCACTTAATATTCAGAGAGAACATAATCATGAGACACTTAATAATAGCGTCTGTCTACGTTCTGGTGAAAGTTAATCATGTATCCCATTTTAATCGCACAAATATATCGGTATGTTGTATAAAACCCATTTTTTTTGTACAGTTTTGTACAGCAGCAGTACTTGTAGAAAAATATTCGCGTATTTCATGTAAGAGGGAGAAGTTTTTCAGATTATACAATAATTCATTCGATGACGTGGATGTTTGGGTAAACAAAATACTAAAAACTGATGAATGGACTCAGAGAATTGTTTCAAAAAAATCATTCGTGATCAATTTCAGCGAATACGCCATGATGATACGTTTTGGTATAACAATATCACAAATGAGCATAATCGCAAATTATTATTTATTATTATTTTATAATTAATTTACACAATTTCACATTTGCATATATTGCATATTATCCATATGATTAATTTAATAAACAATAAATATTCGATACGATTTTCTTTGTAGACTTTTCACTAACGATGAAATTGAAAGACTGGAACAATTATCATTTTATGATGTACTAATGTATGTCACTAAGATGGCCTGGAATATTTCAAGGAATTCTTTTAGAGTTCCTACCGTAACTATAATAAGAAAAAATATATATATTAGACTGATAAAAAAAAATATTTTTTTTTAATCGGCCTCAGTTCAAAAGTTTCCATTTTATGTTAAAAGAACATTCCTAAATTTTTATTAAAAAATATTAAGATTTAGATATCACTAGTAAACGATTTTTAAATCAAAATTTCGATTTTCCTTAATATATGTTTGATTTTTTGATGCAAAAATGATTTAATGAATTTTAATGTGGTATTGTGTTTTTTTAGTCGCTGGATATGCAATAATTCATTTAGCTCTACGATATACGCCTTAAAAAGTACAGCCCGATTAATGTGAAAAAATAATCAAATTTCAAGTTCAAGAAAATGAAATGAAATGAGTACATAATACAAAAAAAAAGATTTAATTAATTGAAATAAATTACATATAAGTATATTTTTTATTATGTTCATTTCATTTTATAATAAAGAGTTTTTTATTGTCAAATTGAGACATTTGATTTGAGGAAACACAAAGCGATATATTTTAGAACTTCAAAGCAGGTTATCGCCGTATTATCATTATCCTTTGCTAATGCCAATGTTTCGTGAACAGCAAGGGATTAGCGATCTTGGCAAACTTTTTCTCTCTGTGCATATTTATTTCGCAATTATTTTCACACGTAAACTTACTTTATAATTTTTTTAATCACATTTTTGTACAATCATTCGTATTTGATTGCGCTTTGATATATGCAATGGGCATGCCATTATACAGGTATCTCAAAAATATCGGGACATCTGAATATCTCGGGAAATATGTTTTACAAAAAAATGTTTTAGACAAAAGTTGTAGGATTCAAAAAGATCTATTTATTGATTTTATCAGTTGTCCTTGAATGGTGTCAGGTCAAATATCGATTTTTTTTAATGGAACATCTACTTTTGATTCCAGAATCTAATATTCAATGTCGAGAGCTTTCTAAAATGCTATAAGAAAATATTTTTTCATTAAGTACTTTTCATTAAGTACTTTTCGAGTTATGATGCTTGAAAGTTACACAGTACCGCCGGCATTAGCATTACGCAAGGTATTTGACCAATGGCTAAAACTTCTTGAATGTTGTTCAGGTTCATGTCCTGGATAACATTCGTTTAAGATTAAGACCATTGGAGGTTCTCTTATTTTCATTATTGCATTGAAAATTCATTTTTATATACATCTTGCCTAATGCCGGCAAAAAACTTATATTTTCCGAGATATTTAGGGGACCGTTTGGGGTCCCGACTTTTTGGGACACCCTGTATATATGATTGTGAATATCGAAGACACAAACTTCCCAAGTTTAACGATTGGTGTTGTATTACAACAGGTATAACGGAAATATTTTAATTGGATTAATACGCTTATTATCGATAATATACAAATCATTCTACAATTGGTTCTCCTTTGTATATTCTCTGGTGTGTGTGTGTGTGTGTGTGTGTGTGTGTGTGTGTGTGTGTGTGTGTGTGTGTTTGTGTGTTGTGTGTGTGTGTGTGTGTGTGTGTTTGTGTGTGTGTGTGTGTGTGTGTGTTTGTGTGTTGTGTGTGTGTGTGTATAATGGTTCTGCTGTAAATTGAACTTCTGGCTTAAAAATTAAAAAAAAATTGTTTAAAAAGAGTAGGTGTCTATTGGTGTTGATTACGATATGATAAATTTCACAATTGAAAATCATTAATAATGATAATGATAATAAGGTACATTACAGTATACAGTACTTATATACATATAAGATGTAACACTGAATTCAGTAGATATATACAGTAGATATATACAATAGATCAGAAAAATTGAGAAAACTTGAGCCCAAAATGTGTTACAGCCTTTAAAGGGATTCTAAAGAGCTGCTTTTTAAATTTTAACTAATTTTTTTTTAGAATATTTACAGCAAAATTTCACCATACCGCAATTATGTCTTTTTTTAAAAGCTTCGAAGTATCCAAACAAATTTTCAAAGCAAAATATTTAAAACTCTAGGAATAGTACACTTTTTCATGCTGGGATCCAATTAATTGCTGTGTCTCTAATAGTGATATCAAGCATGATAAGATATGAATTTTAATATCTACTATGTTCTTGCGATATTTGATTTACGGGATTGGTTTTTATTATATA